CAATTAAATTTATTACAATAAATTATACTCATCTAGATTCAAGTACTTAATTTAACATCAAGATCGTTTTTTTGATGATACATTCAATAAGAATCCAAATTGGAATAACGATTAAAGTAATTAAAATCACAAACTGCCGTGTTGTCACCACTTAATGTGCGTATCCACCGGCAAATATTAATAAAGCAATTGTGATAGTGTTTAACTAAAAGTTTTTAGTTGTTTACAGATTTCATTATACGTTTTCCCCAAGAAAAATAACTTTACAGTAACGACTAGCTTTATCGTCTTTATTTTATTTATACACAACTGCATATTTGATTAATACAAATTTTTTTTATTGATTGTGTCTTAGTCTGAAAAGCAGTGTATAACTGATGATTTGCGACACTTGAATAAACTACAGTAAACAGTAAACAGTAAACAGTAAACATACTATTAATGTGTAGCAGAAATATGGGTGAGAGAATGAGGAGCACATCCTACGCTCCATTCCGGCTTCAGCCCAGGCAGCCACTGACGTGCCGGTTTTATTATATTTAGATCCGTGAATATCTGATATTTATGAATGCCGACATGCAGCCCTCACGTGGGACGTAGTTATCTTTTAGACGTATTTATGATGGTAAACTAATTTGTATGCCAACATAAATACAATTTGATACGATAATTGGTTTTTGAGGAATGTGACGTTATTTATTATGTGGTTAAGTATTTGTGGAAATGACGAATATTGAAGTTTAGATTTGTGTTTAATTACTTAGGCCTAGTCCATAGTCACATGTCATGCCTCATATCCTCCAATATTAATTTAACATTACAGGATAGAGGGCATGACATGAAAATGGATGACATGGCATGACTATGGATCCGGTTTTATATTTAAAAAAGTCACTGTTTTGCCATAATGACGAAACATACTTGTGTCTTATATATTTGTAGATAAATTTTACTTTGGAAAATAATTTTACAAAGTAAATGCATATGCATGCTTATGGAATTCCCATTCGAAACCAGCCACACAAAAGAAGGCATACATAATTTATTAATATTATTTATATCCCCAATCATGTGTTTGTCAACTGGTATCTAATAAACGTCCAGTCTTAACTCTAATGTACATCTCAAATATAAATAAATAAGTACTTCTTTAGTTGAAGATATATAGTGTTTAAACCTGTTGATTTTATGGTTCTTAAACAAACACGCAATAACCCTTCATTTTTTTTATAGAACCCATTAAAGTCGAATTTAGTTTATTTGTCCACGTCGACAAATAAATAATAAGGTCAACCATAATTTTCTAGTTCTTTGACGGTAGCCCAGTTTTCATTTGAGTATCACAGAATTGTCTCGATAGCTTAAAAACTTCTAAAATGTCGACCCCTCTGATCTGGAAAGCTCTCGATAACTAGGCCCGTTCTTATCGTATTCTGTGGAGAAATCCGTTAGAATGGAGCATAAAATCGCAACAATTTGTCCCCACGACAAACCCTCGAAAAGTCGTCCATATTTCACGATCGTCTTTGCTTCGGTATTTCTATTCGGCCTGGCATAGTCCCTTCATCGGGACTATTGAGACACTCTTTACCAGATGTTAAAATAGCTGACTTCTTAATCAAATACTATCCTGATAGATATCGATTCTCTCCCATTCTCTTGCCTCCGCCTTGTCAACATATTCCTAATTAGTGTCCAAATGTGTCGCATGTTTCCCCTGCAAATCACATATTCTTGCATTCTTTCGAAAATACTGTTAAAAATCGTGCCATTCTTGAAGAGGGGCGGTATTGTGTAAAGTTGAGTTTGTACGATCAACTCAGAATAATTTTGACCCATGCGAGAAGTCTGATTCATACTGGGGCCGCCATTTGTTTACTGTTGACAGTGGTGCTGTGTATCTTCTTTAATTTCGTGACGTTAAAATTGCACGTTGTTGTGCCGATGCCGTTGTACTTGTATTTTCCCACGGTTTCGATCCTCCTGCCTGTCATGCTGGAGGTCATTTTACCTCCAGCGATTCGAATCAATACGGAATCGATGGTGTTAATTCATACCTTAAAATCTGTGCAAGACCCGTATGCGAAGCAAGTTAGGAATCGCTACTTTAGCCGGCGTGTAGAATCCATGAAATCTTGTACGATTGAAGGGGGAGCGTTTGGGTATAGGTTGTTTAATATCGTAAGAGAAACAAAGAGCGAATGTTATTATATAATTGTGGACCAGGACCATACAATAACTGCATTGTTAGCGGTGGATGTGACCCACTTGCGAGATGGTCATATCACACATTGTTGAAAGTACTGCTTGTAACTTACAAGTTGTTGGCTAAGTTCGACTTTACTCACATATTTATGAGTTGAGTAGCCAGGTAGCTTGGCCTAGGCCTCGGTGTGACCTGAACCCGTTTGGGGTTTGCCCGTCTCATCGATAAGTAATTTATTTGTATACCCCCACAAATAAATTATTACATGACTTATCATGTTATCCGTTGTTCAAATTCCACAACCTTGATGCTGGTTAATTTTAATTAAAGCTAGTTGTATGACTCTTGACATTAAGGACTCGGTTTGTGCTAAGAAATATTTTTATTATTTTAAACGTGTCGATCGTGGAAGAGCATGGTCGTTGTACTGTGATCAATTATGATAAAATAATAAAGCTTCAATCAATCAATCAATTATTGACAACGGGGTGCTATTTAAATGTATATATTGTATCACCGATGCTGATGACATTGGACAATTTACCCACCTGTAAATCTCAACCAAGTGCGTAATCATAATTGGAATTGTTCGATATGTAGAAATACAGCGTATGGTACAAAATTAACAATGAATTTATCAGGGAAAAAGAGATAAATCAGACAAGTTTTTTACCTTAGTATCTTCCACATTAACCATTCGTTACTCATCCATTGCTCATCTCAATATCACAGGACACAACTATAGCGTTGAATCGAATTCTCTATTTCTCATTCCACAAAAAGGTATTTCCGCAAGAAATGAATATTGATAATTTTTAAATTTCAATTATTCCATTACACAGATGACTTTACCGAGCAATCCTTGTCTGTTCCCTGCTCTATATCCAACGATCATCCTGTTCTCATCGACAGGACGAATATTCTGAAAATGATGGGGACTCGGATACTATAATGGTACTCAGATCGGTACGAACTGATTTTGCTACCAAGAATTTTACAAGGATTGGAATGTTCCAACTTTAGGTTCAACAACATTCCTTATTCGTGAAGTCGGCAGTGGGACGATATTTGTGGCGAGAGCATGACATTTTGACATGGGTGGGAACCTCAACTTGATAGGCGCATCAGGGTCATTCCTTGTAGGTGAAAAGTGAGGCTTATGGTTACTTTTCACTGTTTAAGCATGACTTAATTATGTATAGGAACTGGCAAACCACAGAAGCCTACGCACGGCTATGATATAAAATTCTTTTTCGGCGTCCGGGGGCCATTTGCGACCTTCATGCCAAGAATAACGAAGGAGAGTGGGGAATATTTCTTGTCAAAGGAGTTGGTCAAGATGTGGGCTGCATTCGCCAAGGATGGGTATGCACGAGATAAATAATATGTGCAAAACTTACAGCGCAGCCTTCATATAGCCCGAGTTGGTGTAGTGTGCGATACTCTTTGTCATATATTCTGAGTATATATTTAAGTTAAATTTCCTCTGCAATTGACCAACGTAAACAAATGCAGCAAACTTTATAAATCCCAGGTGGTGGACCGTAGGTCCTAAATTGGTGAAATGCTCAGACTATATTGTTAGAAGGTCTGAAGTACCGCTGTGCAAATTTTCAGCTCAATCTGATAATTTATAAAAATCGATATAGGTCACCCCGCTATGTCCCTTGGATGATTTTTGTAAAAATTTACTTCATACTTGTCCCTTCTGCTCCATATAACAGCATCTTGCCAAATTTCAGTCTAGCACGACAATTTGATACATAATACCACCTACATGACCCCCAACGGTTCGCCACTTGACCGATTTTGCTCATCTTGGAACTCGATTCCTAGCTTTGTTCACACTACATGTGTACCAAATTTCAAGTCGATCGGATATTATTAAAGAGAGTTATAGATCAGACGGACCGACCAACAGGCAGACGGACCGACGGACACTATGACTACATAAGGCATGACTCGGGATTAAAAGTCAGATTATATTTATGGGGGCTGCGATAAACTTACTGTCAATTTTTAACCAGGAAACCCAAGCAGTTATGGAGTGACGGCCCCGTGTTGGAGTGGACCCAAGCCTTTAAAGATGAGGATGATCAACACCCCACACTTCTCTATATTGATGACATCCCCAAAGTAGAAAGAGTTGGGGATTGGTATGAAAACAATAACATATTTTGGGGTGGTTTAGCCCTCAAAGAATTTGGCAAAGTTTGGGAATCGGAACCGTGAATATTTGAAGGTATATAAAAGTAGTCTGTGCCATTAAATTCGAATCTGGTATATGTATATGTAGTCGTTGTTTGATTTGAGAAATAAATTGAGCTGGTAAATTCTCCCCAACAATTGAATTGCATTTTGTGTTTGAACCATTCTATTGTCAACTAATTAACCTCTTTTTCACCAAAGTTGAGATATCGTGTATTCTCAACCAAGTCCCTTAGAGAGTATTTACATGACATGATGTTGAGAAATTTTCCATTCGCAAGTAACATGAGAGTAGAAAATTGGTAAAGAATGAAGAATTTGATTATGAAAAGTGGAGAACTCGATAGTGAAAAGTTGAATTTTGTCAGCCGAATTTTTGAATATTTTCTATATCAACTCCATGTAAGAATATGGAATTCTCATTTTTCTTGAATTTGTATCAGTTTTGAAAATTGGCAAAACTTAAAATTGGGGTTAGTGGTAACAAGGGCTTTGAAGTTACGGTGAAAAAGAGGTTAATGACCAATCACTCCATCACATCAATTTGTAATTGAAAGAATTGAAATTGAAATTTATTTCAGCGGCAAATTATACAATTATGCGTTATTATAAATTGAATTGATTAATTAGTAAATTGATGACAAAGAACACCACGCCTACCTGCGAGGCACATATCTGTAAAAATGTGATCATCCGCAGAGAAAAATAAGCACGGGAGGTGATCATAGGTGCTGATCATGGCATTTTTGGTATTGAAAGTGGTCCCATCCCCATTCTCGAATCCACTCATGTACGGAAATTGAGCAAATCCGTTCATACCTTTCAAAATTGCATCGATCCATAATTCTGCGTAAATAAATAAATAAGTTGACCACTATCCCCTCTTGATTTTAAGTTTTAAGTCAACCTACTTCTTGACACGTGCAGATTTTGTCGAAGGAAATCAAACTCGGCGTCAGAATGAAGAATGGCGAAATGCAAGGCAGAACCTTGACAAACTTCCCGAGCCCCGAAAAAGTTGACGACAAAATCCTTGTAACAAAATTAAGGCATGTCCGTAAATAAACATTTGTGACTATTGGATTTGATTTTAGATTGGACACCTAATGATTTACCTGATCAGCGGTGGAATAGAATGTCTTATTTCCGATGGTGCCCAAAATTTCTAGTTCCGGGAATTGATGGACTCCTGGAGTAAATAAATTAGTTTTTGAAAAACACAATTTAGATAAATTTACATTACCTTGGATTGATTTCGGCGCAGAATTGCAGGAAAGGATGCAGGTGGCAACTAAAATGGCGGCAAGGTTTAGTGACAAGTTTAGAGCCATGATTTCTGATGTAATTAATCTGGTTTTGTAGAATGTGATGCCTGTATTGGTGGAAGGATACTGACAAAATTAGAGTCCGGCTGGGTATTTATGTGCAAAAAAGTGACGTGTTTTATGTGCAAAGAGTGGACAATGGCAATTTACAAAATATAATTGATTGCTTACGTGGACGTTTTCAATCAGCAGGAAGAGACGAACACTCTGTTTTTGGTGAGATTGCACTCCTTTATCGTATCACGACACAGTTAGAATGGACATTATCTTAGTATGTGAATGAGTGATGGTGACATGGTTGCGTTAATCCACCGACTTTTAAAATTCCTTTGACGCATTTAGTTTCGTACGGTGGACTTAAACTGCAAACTCGATATTTCACACTATATGTGACTTTATCGAATGTGACCTTTTATTGAAATAAGAATAAGGGACACCAATTACAGAGTCTGTTATTTGCGGGAAAATGTATTTATTATTAACATCTTCAGTGGAGTAACTCCACTGGAGTTCAAGGATGACATTTTAAATATGGTTTATTAGCTCAAGCTTTCAAAAAGAAACAATCCGTTCTCTTCATCAGGAAAATTACAATAAAATTTGTAAAATCTGGATAAAGGTTCACCTGGGGCAACACAAATTTGACTACCGGGGGGCAACGTAGTAGTGGTAGAGGAATGGAGGTTTATGTTGGATTAATGGTCATTCCAGTGTCTCTATTGTGGAGCCTTCCGGACAGTCAGAAAGAGACTGGACAAATATTATAGAGTATGACTTGCAGATTTTTCGTCCATATTCTTCAGATCTCTTTTGTGTTCTTAAATGCGTGGTTAAAATTCTCGTTTCTCCGATATAGTGGGATTTGCACGAACATGGAATTCGGAACACTCAAATGTTGATCTTGTCCATTTCTGGTTGCACACTGTAACCAGAAAGCAAAAATGATCTGTAACTTACAGATCATTTGTCCAATTTTACCACCAAATCGAAATGCAAGTTAGAATATTCGTCTATTTTTAGCCTGTTTCAAGGCTTATGTAACCGTGCCATCCGTTCATCCGTCTGTCTGATTCTCAATAATTTATAACCCCAAGATAATTCATTATTATTATCCTGATCTTGATGTATTGTGCAATAGTGGGAAATATTGTTACTATTCTCCCTCATATTAAATCTATATTAATTTGGCTATTGGTGGTGGCACTTTTGGCTATAGGTGAGCACATTTGAGACTTCGCTTTTTACCAAACTTTTACATGCAATATCTGACGGTTATGATGGACAGAATCATAGCAAACGTCACGCTTTCCCTAATTATATATTTTGGAAGACGTCGCAGGATGTGACAAACCCATTTAAATATGCATTCTTAAATGATACGTAACTCATATCCACGTCACATCCAAAAGCAGATAAGTAAAATATGCATGCTGTCCTGGCGCAAATATATTTCTAATCACCATATTAATGTCAAATCGCTCGTCAAATGGAATATCTTATCTCATAATTCTGATAACATGTATTGACTCACCTGTATTAATTATGTTTCCCATGCCATGTCCCCGAGACACCGCAAAGTAGGGTAGTTAAATGATAAACGTCATTCACTATTCAATTCATCCTCATAGCGACTACGCTCGCGATTATGTCAGGTGAGTGGTGGCCAAATTACACCCTCTCCTTATTCCGTTAAAAATGTCGTACTCCCAAAATCCAGAAATCTACGTAATTGACGACACCAAGTCCCCCACACCAACCGCACCTCCACCATACTCCCCAGTTGAACCTCTCCCACATTATCGCGACACCACATATGACGAACATGAGGTAATTTTCCACTTCACAGATGCCTCCATCCGGCAAGGTTTTGTCAGGTAAAGTAGTGATTTATTCATGTACTAAATATATAATTAGCTAACTGCCAGTTTCACCCTTAAATAGGAAAGTTTTTGCCATTCTTCTTATCCAAACTGTAGTCACTTTTGGTATCATCACTTTATCCACGTTCATCGAACAGATCCGGGACATCCTCCACAGTTCCGCCTTCCTCTATATTTCCATCCCACTTGTTATCCTGGACTTGATCTTCCTCTATCTCATCTCCCTCAAACCACATCTATTGGTAGCCACTCCAGCAAATTATATTGCTTTGGGGGTGGTCACCCTGTGCACAACGGTGCCGCTGGCGGTTGCATCTTCATATGTTGAGTGAGTTGCAGTATGTTTGAGTTTGATCCTTCTGATTTAAATTTAATAATTCTTATAATATTTCTACAGCATAAAATACGCCTTGTTCTTACCCACCGCATTACTCCTGGCGTCCACCCTTTCCATCCTATTATTTACGTTACAATCCCGCCGGGAATTATGCACATTTGGGGGATTTCTTCTCACCACGTTATCCACAACGGTCATAGCGGTCATCCTATTCTTCGCGTTTCGTTCCGAAGCTAAGGAAAATGGGGATGAAGTTATAATTGGAGTCATCCTTGGAATTGCTGGAATGGCAACAATCATTTTTGGGACGATATGGGTCGCTCTAGTTCGTGGGTTGATGTTTTCCGAGAAAAAAACAAGTAGTTTAAATTGTTCCCCGGAAGACTACATTTTAGCCGCGATGTTGCTCTATGTCGCCATCATTTTGATCTTCCTGGTCATATTGTTGATTGTCCTACTCGTCCTGGGAGCGAGTAGTAGTAGTAGTTCGAATTCATGTAGTGGTGGGGGTGGTTGTCATGGGGGATGGATCTGGTTTTTTCCAATTTATGGTAGAACCCACTACAGCGGGAGGAACGTGGAAGGGCAAGAAGGTGGAGATGAGGCACGCGAAGTTTAGAGATGTAACATTATAACATATAGTTAAATTATTTGTGTGATAGGGTTGTGGAAATAATAATGATAATTACTTGAATGAGAAAAATAAAGTGTAAATATGGTGGGGTTAATGAATGAGGCAATATGGGTTTTAATGGTTCACTTAAAATAATTGTGGATGACTGATATTGGTTATTTTAAATTGGCACCTTTCGGAAGACGAGCAAGATAAATACTTATTTTATTACTGTGCTGCGAAGCTGTTTCAAATTTATAGTTAATGTTGAATTAGTTGTTTTTATCTTGCTAATCGAAAAAGCAATGTCGTACTGGATCCCGGGTGGGTTGGATATGCTCACGACCAATTTGTTATTCATGTTACAACAATAACTGTTAAAATTAATGGACCAATTAGTTCGATATTGGATCAATTTAATTTATTAAGACCACTCACAGCAGTCGAAACTGTCACTCAGATTGCGATGTTAATTAAATTGATTGGAAATAAATTGGTTATCGTTTAACTAAACCTATTTAATTTATTTGACAATCGGAACTTATTTAATCGAGGTAATTATTCCCATCACTATTACTGTGTCCTTCTCCAAACTAATTAATACGTCATCCACCACTCTTCCACTTTATCCACCGAGCTGATGATTGAATCACAATTCCAATGTGCAAATAGAGTAAATTGATTCACACCGAGTTCTAGTTCAACTGCCCAACATATTTTAATATAGTAATTTTTGAATTCGTTTGAACGCCTTGCACGCAGAACTTAATGTTATTTTCCGATGATCAATTTGTTTATTTGTTCCGTGCTTTCTAAATCCATTTGAAAACACTTTCCATTGAATACTGTTGCTGGGAGTTCCCAATCATATTTGAAGGAAAGTTGTGTTTCGGCAGAAATATGTTTTCCGCCAGGGTGATAAACCTTATTTCCAAATCGTTCCAGTATATGGATTACACTCAATCTATTCCATTCGTCTGGGACAGCAGTAACGAAACGATCCGTGCAAAAGGGAATAAATTGACGTGGTTATTATCCCGACTATTTTGTTTGCTGAATGTGATGTACGTATTATTTCTGATTGTTCAAATGGTGATCACCGTGAGCTGTCCTGCTTTCAAGGTCATGGACGTTTACTGGATAACCACAATGGCGTATGGACACTTAGTCAGTAGTGAGGGACTACTCAACCCCATTGTGAGAAGGGATGATTGGGTCCTCTTTTACAAACAGGTGGTCCGGTTTGATGCAAAATTCGATGGTATAAGGAACTATTTTACATCTATGCCCTCAGAATAATTACGGGTCTATTTCAGATCTACAAATTCCTGACCTGAAACGACGACGAAAAATTGGAGAAAAGTTGGCCTATTACATCTGCAAAGCCAACGTGCTATGTGCGATATCATTTGTCACCTTTGCTACCATAGTGTACCTCTACAACCCCAGAGCACCACAATATCCTTACGGTGCGTACCCTTACGAAGACAGTATCGTGTCCTACGTAGCATTCGCGCTGTTGGAGATCTACACGAAAGGCGTCGTAATGCCGTGGGGGATTCTGATTCATTGCTGGATAACGATTGCAGTTGCCATGGAAACGACAGCGATTACATTGCTGCGGTATTAAATAATTGTTAATTGGGAAATGGTGTGAAAATTGTGTCATAACCAGTGTTCTATAAAAAACAAAAAACCAAAAAGTGCTGTAATGCTGAATTGCTTTTTACATGCTTTTAACTGCTTTTTACTGGCTTTTTTGCTTTTTATTCGTGCTTTTTTGCTTTTTACTTGGCGCCATCTAACCGCGCAAATTAGAACTACTATGTTATAAGTAGCAAAAGAGCATCAATTTCAATAAAGCAAAAAGCATCTTTAAAGCAAATTTAGAGCAATAGAGCAAAAATGCAGCTTTTTTACTTGAGAGAACACTGGTCAAACTTTATTGTATTCAACAGGAAATGCAGGGATCCAATTGAGAAACGTGTCGTATATTTCCGCTGCATCTCGATTTTAAATACATTCCACAATATGAGCTACCTCCCCACCCTGGTGCCAATAAGGCTCTTTCTCTTTGGTATATTTGGATTAGAAGCGGCCGTTGTCCTAGTGCGGTTCAGGGATAGGATCACATTTGCTGAAATGTGTCTGGCTTTCCAGTTTGGATTTGCAATGTTTCTCTGTGGAATCCTTTTTCTCAATATTTCTGGAGGGGTTTACAAAAATAGTTGCAAACTAGCAACTCGTCTACGGAAGCAATGTTTTATGAGAGAGGTGCAGGACAAGGATGGAGTGGACAAAAATGTAAACAAATGTATAAAACGGGTCGAACAGTCACTGAAACCTTTCGGAGTTAGCTGTGGACCTACCCGGGCATTCACGTATAACAGTATGCTTGAATTTTTCGTTATTGTCGCAAGCTGAATAACTTCGATATTGGTGGATTTGAAAGAAAGAGATGGTGCATAGTGAATGAATGGAGGCGAGGAGATCCTCAATTGGGACACAAACTTACTTAAACCTTAAACCGTTAAACCTTAATTGTGAGATCGCAACGCTTCTCGAACTGGGATCAACCACTACAAACTACCCGTCACGGATGAGGCGAAGGTTATTTGTGATGTCCACGCGAACTATTAATTTGAAATAAAGTATTCGTACTATCAAGACTAAGGCTCCTTTACTTTAATAACAGTTTTATTCGACACTTTCACACTCAATCAATTTACACAATTTTCAATCTTAATTTCCTAAAGGAGCCAGCCGAAAATTTTTTACTAATTCTACCCTTATCTTCTCGCTTAGACCCTAGGAAGTACAATTAACGTTTAATTGGTTGCGGGAATTCAACCTAACTAATTTTATACTAATTTTACAAATTGAGCTCAGCGGAAGAGAGTCTACGGCTCTACTTGTCTCAACGTTCAACCCAGCACTTTTTCGCTGCTTCCCAATAATTCGAATCCCGGAAATAAACAGATGATGACCCGTAGGCTTTATTTACTTTCAGCCAATTTACTCTTTCGACAGAAACAATTATGGGAACAATTAAAGACTATTAATTAATTTCTAATTGAGCTCAGAGGAAGAGATTTTACAGCTCGACTTAGCTCAACGTTCAATCACAGTACTACTCGTCTCCTGACGAGTCTCTCGCTTCCTACATGCCTCTGTCACAGTATTGGCGGCAGAGTTTCCTAAACTATCCTCTAGAGAGCGCTTACTACATTAAGTTCTACTTACAACTACTTTATAATCATAAAATATCAATTTCTTATAAATACTATTTTCTCTTAACATTATCATCAATTTGAATAAATAACTTAATCTCCCTAGCCCTTTCAAGGATTTGACATTAGTCAAAAACCCTAAAGCAGTTCGAGTTCGAATCGAGGACCCAATCGAAATGGCATGAAATTGAACGCTATAATTAAAATCAACAACAATTTAACTAATAATAAAAAATCATTCCCATTTATCGTTAATATGTATGAAGGAATTTGTAATTAAGGAATTTTCGACATGATATTTATTAATTTGTAAGGAGTGGGAAATGAATGTTCGATTCCATGGTTGTCAGCTTTAGAATACGTAGAATAATAGAATAATCATGATAATAAAACTTTATCCATTTATCCATTTGGCCAGGAAAAAGCCTGTCCAAGGACAGTCGAAAGTTGTAATTTTTGTCCATTATTTATCTCTATTACGACGATTATTACGCATACAAATTTATTATCTCCAATACGAAATCTAACAAACTTAATATACGAGTAAATATCCTAACCAAGAATTGTGCAAAGTTGTGTGTGTGTGTGTGTTACCTTTTGAACCAAGCGCTTCACTCGATGGCATGCATCACATTGCCCCATATTTACTTAAATTACATGCGAACGCCACCTATCGACATTTTGAGGTACTGGATTATAGTTTGCACCCCTAGAGGGCATGCCTTGCTGAAAATCTTTAAACGTTATAAAAACGTTGACCAACACAAGAACAACTCCACACACCCCCAACGATGGAGTGTTGCCCTTACGACCTGTGCACACCCCCTAGAGTTGTAACTTGACCTCTGACCAAGTCACACCCAGTACAGTCGTAACTTAACCTGTGACCTAGGTACACCTACTGGAGTTGAAATGAGACATGACCTAGACTGGTGGTGGTGTTTTGCCATTTGAACTAGGCGCGCTTGAATACAAGGTTGTCTCATATTGCCCAGTTGTTATTAAAATTACCTACTAGCACCACTTATCGATTTTTTGAGGTATTAGGTTCTACTTTACACCTCTAGAGAGGCCATTGATTGCTTCATAGAATGTTCCCAAAGGTTGAAGCAGACGAACACACCCCCGTCTTGACCTACGTAATAACCTGAGCATCACCCACTCCATAGAGTCCATAAAAGCAAGAGTAAATACGGTAGTATTTCTTTCGATAATATCTTATGAAATTATTTAAGTTTTGAACCACCCATGAGACGGGCTCATATATATCTGTAGTTCCACATTTTCATCATTGCTCATTTTAGCGCATTATTATTGCAATTCATTCAGAGATACGCGATTATTGGATATTCTTCTGGGATTAAGGATTAAGGATTACTATTTTTCAGGGATTAAGGATTACTATTTTTCTGGGATTAGATTAATCCGTGATTAATTAAGCAATTGAATTTCGTCGGGATTAAGGATTAATTCACAATGTCTTTGAATTCGGGATTAAGTATAAATTAATCCTGATTAATTTGTGCTGAAGGATTAATAGAATTTTTATTTTACTGAATTTAACCATGACAGTGGCGTCTGATATATTTATGTATATCAATGTTATCTGAAATGTGGTACTAATCGACATGTGACGGATATCTTTAGGTTTAATTACACCTCAGATATGCTGTCGTTCGATAGATTTCATATAGGGGAATTCCCTAAGGGGATAGCATGTGCCTTCTATAACTAAAAATATCGTTGTACAGGTGCATTTAAAAGAGTTAGGCAGGCTGTTCGAAAAAACATCAAGTCCACATCTATGCATGCCCGCGAGAGAAATTTTGCTTTAGGAGCCCGCTAGGCGGGCTTTAAAGGCTAGTCAGTAAGAGAATAGAGCCATGATGTGTGTGTGTGTGTGTGTGCTATTTTGAACGGAGCGCTTCGCTCTATGGCGGTCTCATATTTCCCATACACCCATGTTATTATCATAGAGTTGGAAACCCAATTCGACACGTTACCTAGCCACACCCCCAGCGAGCCACCACGTGACCCCTGACCTCAGCACACCCCCAGAGAGTCGCCACTTGACCCCTGACCTAGCCACACCCCCAGCTTGCCACCACGTGACCCCTGACCTCGCCACACCCCCAGCGTGCCACCACGTGACCCCTGACCTCGGCACACCCCCAGAGGGTTGCCACGTGACCTTGCCACATACCCAGCGTGTCGCCACGTGTCCTCTGACCTCGGCACACCCACATTCCAAAGTGTCCATCTGACCCCTCACCTCGGCACACCCCCAACGTGTCGCCACGTGCCACGTGACCATGCCACGTCCACAGCGTGTCGCCGCGTGACCTCTGCCATGAGCACACCGGATGAAATTGCAACCGAATTAATTAAAAAGACAATAATGTAAACAACAATTTTTTAATAGCTTTTATATTGCCAAGCAACCCGAAACAAAACTACTGCAGAATTACATAGTTTTTATGGTTGCCACCAGTTTTTCTCGACTCCCACTAATTCAATTAATTCGAGTGACATACCAAAAAATTCGTAATTTAACACAGTTTAAATTTAAATAAATACTTACAAAAATATTTACATATTATATGGGAAATCAACCATCAAGAGCAGAAAAATCTCATTTTCTAAAAAAAATTGACACTGATATGACCCCCACCGGTGACCGATCGTCCCCGTCTGCAAACCTGTTCATCAGATTCCCCTTGTGCATGTTTCCTCCAAATTTCATGAAAATCCGTCAACTCGTGCTTCTTTTAGGGTATGATATACATGACCGGCAGATTGGAAAATGAGGGGCCCATTGTATGTCAAATTTCTCAGCCCCCCGATAACATACAACATTCTAGTAAAGATTCGTCTCCATTTTTCTGGGATACCTAACTAATGCAAAAAACCGCATGCTTCTAGCTCTTATAGTTTTCTCAGAAAAGGGAGGCTTATACTGCGTTTTATATATATGATGTTCTCAAGAAATTAATGATTTACCAAATTTACGAAATCTAGCCATCTGAGGTGGCTCTGGATTTCTTAGGTGACATTATTAGGTGAGTATTAGGTAACAATGATCGTCAACATGTTGTGAGGCAGCATAGCAACATTCTACATCATTGTAGATGATAACCATAAACCATTGTCCTAAATTTTGACTAAATTAAACTAAATTTTTCATATGAATAATCTCCATTTATAATTTTTTAAATTAAAATTTTTTCTTCAATTCCAGCTTTAAATCTAAATTAATGCTTTTAATCTCAAATTTTATTGTATGCTAAAATTTTATCACATAGACAACTAATTTTTAAAGTTACAATTTTTGTTTGCAGATTTGGAACTTTTGAAATTTTCAGGCTGAGATGATGAAGCAGTATGGAAAGTATTTCCATAATGAGCCCCGATTGTGCCATGTTCATCTCCCGAGTTTATTATGGTGTAATGAAAAGAATTCCGCTCTACCTTCCGAAATGTAGTTCCGGTGTTGTTTGGATTTCTAAAAAGTAAAAGTAAATAAATTTCTCTGAAAAAATTTGAAAATAAATAGGAAGTAACCTACCCTGTTTTCATAAATTCGTACACAATGTCGACCCAATTCTTCACAATGCTTTTATCCACTTCAGATAGTTCTTGCCCGAAATCAAACATGTAAAATAACTCATCTCCGTGGTCAACCCCTACAAATTCATTAATTTATCAGTTAATCCTTAAGCAGACAAAATAAATAAATTAAAAAGTAGATTCATATGTTTGACCTACCACGTGGAACTTCTGGGATACCTCCCATATCCACGAAGAATGAATTGTAATAAAAAATTGTGCATGTCAATTCCTTTAATTAATAACCACCCAGCGTCGGTTTTGCATCTTACGGGTTAAAGTACTCATGCGAATACAGAAAGGTATCCCACCCCAGCTGGGCATGGCTCTTTGCCTTCGAAAGGGCCGGAGCTTTGAAATAAAAGGCGGAATAAATCTGTAAAATAAATTAAGACTTCAATATTATTATAAATTAATTAAATAAATATAAATATATTACGTCACTTATGAAGGGTGCAACTCCCGTAAATGAGTCCGGGAGTCTCATCTCCTTCAGGAATGAGGATATGAGAATTTCGATGGTACCAGTCGGGTAATCCTTCAGTTCTGAATTACCAATAATTATAATTACTTATTTTCTGCAAATTTACTTCCATATGGCATAATTAAAGAGAGTACCAAAGTTTGCTGACGTTAGTAGATCTTGAAGGAGCTTGTACCGCAAGAAATCGTTATGAGTTTCATTCCAGACAATGGCTGACCAAGCCCATCTCGAAAGGATTACCGAGCCGTCATTTTTATTTGTGCCAATTAAGAGCGGAACACCAGCCCTGGTTTTTTCTGGAATATTGTTGATGGGGTCGTTTGGGACGATTCGGTATTGTTCCTGTACCGAATCATTGAGTTGAATGCTCGGGACCGCCTTAAAGTATACATAAATGTGCAAAGTAATTTCATAATTTATGCAAAAGTATTCGTGGTTACTAATTAATTCAATAATTTTTTGAACTTGCATAGAAATTTGTGGTGTTCATGGCATCCAGAATCATATCCGTTGTTATATTTTCATTGCGCAGGCAGTTCAAACGCGCGACCATATCCTCGCTAGTGCACCCCAATGCCGCTGAAAAACTTAAACTTTGATTGTACGCGTTCCTGTTCACCGTCCAACCAGAGGAACTGTCCCCTACCAAAAATTTGAAAAAATGCGCTAATTAGTAATAAGAAGAAATTACAAAATATGAATTATTTAAAATAAACAACTTAATTAAATAATGAACAAATACATTCCTCGTTAATCATTCAGCAATTAGTAAGTTAATTAGCCAAAAGTAAATAAGTAAATTAATTCAAGGAATTTACCGCTAGACTGAATCGCACGATGAAATAGCCCCCTGGTTAGATTAGTGTCCATGAGATAGCCCACGCTTGCCGCACCCGCACTCTGCCCGTAAATAGTGATCATGTCAGGGTTGCCCCCGAAGTGTTGAATATTTCTCTTGACCCACGACAAGGCCCACAGCTGGTCAAGCAGACCTAAGTTGCCAGGTGACTCGTTTATGTCCAAAGTGAAGAAGCCTGTAAACAGAATATACAAAAATTGTTGTTTTTGTATTATTAAAATGTGCTTTCATTTAAAAATTAATTACAAATAAACTTTGCCCTCACCAAAGGCGTTAAGCCTGTAATTAATGGACACTAAAATTATGTCGCGGTCAAGCAATCCTGTACCAGCAAACATGCCGCCGTACCAACGATAAAAAGAACCGCCTGGAATTTTGGAAATTAATTTATCAGCCTCAATTTTATCCAGCAGATTTTAGATAATGCATATTATTGGTGAAAGTGAAACGTTCATTAACTATCAAAATTGTTTTTAAATAATTACCAGTTATGTTTATAAGGACAGGTAATGCCAGATTTCCTCTGACCTAGAAAAACACAATGAAAATGAAAACTAATACGCATTCAGTTCCGGGTCAAATCTTAATGATTAAAATTTTGTGTATACAATAATTAATAAAGTGCGGCAATGCACGATACATAAGTAGCGCAATAATGCTGAGAATGCATCACAAATAAAACAAATGATTCTCCGAGTCATATTTTAATAATGCCCAAACATCAATTAAATAATGATAAAATAATTATCTCTAATAAAATAATTGAGGTCTCCTCACTTATATTGAACCTCTCAGAAGAATCATGCATCATACATGTTTTATGTGTTTTTGCTTAACTCTAAAACACGTAATTTAACTGGATTTCATCCATAGATTAAATTGCGCTATAAATCTCATTTTGCCCCGATCACATCGCGACCGCACCCCCTGACGCCGAGGGGGTGTGGCACCACTTAGATACACTTAATTTAACTGGATTTCATCCATAGATTAATTTGCGCTATAAATCTCATTTTGCCCCGATCACACCGCGACCGCACCCCCTGACGCCGAGGGGGTGTGGTCCAAAAGTTTACGGGATCCTCCGCTGGGGTCATATTTATGATGCCGCAAACCGATTTCGATTATCTTGATGCGTTCTCGAGTTATAGTGTTGACGGACAGACAGGCGGACGGACAGACTAACTAACCGATCGCATAAAGTAGCTTGGGCTACTTAATAATATTGTAATTTATGTTATGTGGTTATTTATGCGTAATTTTAATTAAAAAATTAAGCATATGATGTGAAAGTTACTTCCAAATGCCAAACAATCCATATATTGTTAAAAGGCTGATCTGAAATATGTATCATTAACAAATTCCAGAGAATTGGGAAAGTCAAATATTATTGAATTCAAGTGTACTTAAACTGACGAGCTCCTGACTGTTGAGCTTAAATCGGTCAATCTGATCCCTTCAAAAAAGGAGACAAGAGAAGTAATGGTTGCATGTCAATAATGAGTCACGTGCATACGGTAGAAATCAGAAATCATACTTTACTAATCTACCAAAGAAATAAAAATAGTAATAGGAGATAATCAGTTGTATCAAGACTAACCCAAGTCACTTCACTTCAATATTGTTGTCTTGAAAAATCATTTTGAAGATTCGGAGAATTAATTTTGACAATGGATCAAGGTAAAACAAAATTATAAAAAGAAACTGGTAGAATATTTTATTCAAGCATAATACAATTTAAAAAACATATTTTATATAAATAAATAGATTTAGAAAATCCTAGCAGGGGGTGTGGAAGGGTCATTGACGCAATTGAATTGAAACAATTAGGAAAATTTTGCATTGCACTGGCTTTGATCCTCGGAATATTCAACTATTACGCATGGCTCCTTGGCAGTCCCGGAGTGTCTTTGATGATTGGTTCTGCAATAGGATTTTCGTGTCTTGTGCTGGGATATTTCGTATCCCCCAGATTTAGGTAAAATATTATATTATAATTAATGAAGGGAAATTTTTGTAGGGTAAAATAGATTTTTATTTCCTTAACAGGGCAGTTGTATTTTTTTACATCTGGGGACTTACTTATGGACCTGGCAAATCGTGCATGGGACTAATGGTAACTTGGATTTTCCTAGTTTATGAAACTCAACACATGCAAGCTACGGTAGATGCAGATATATCCATTATAGCAAGAACATTCAACTCATCGGTAATATCACATGGACAATATCATGATAATATAATATTAGGCGTTAAATTCATCCATGTATGGGTGTGGGCACCATTAGCTTGTTATTTTCTTTATTGTGTATGGCGGTGTATTAACATTCTAGATATCCTACAAGCTAAATTTTTTATGACGGGCACAAAATCTGTCTTAAATGAAAGAAATCCAAAGGTGAAAAAATGTATTGGAATTGCAGCCAATGTAATATGCTGGATGCTAGCGCCTTTCGTGGGCGGCTGCTTTTATGCTTGCTTTTTTGAACAAGGTAAACGAGCGTTGCAAGTTGAAATGTACCCAAGAGATATGTACGTGAGAAAGCTTGAGTCAATTTCTCATTCAGTAACATTGAGTGTTTATATTGCTTTTGTTTTTACTGGCATAATACTTTGCTTTTTTGAAACTGAGATGCAGATGCTTCAAACAGAGTGTTTACTAAAGCACTTTGAAAAACAAATGTTATTATATTGCGAGAGGGCTACTCCAAAAGCCATGAAAGAATTCATGGAAGAAATAAGGAAAAAAACAGATAATGTTGACTCTGGGGAATTAACGAACAAGAGACTTACAGATGTGAGTAATAGAATACATCAAACTTTAAATGAAGATAAGGTAATATTGCCTCAATCCAGTCGAGTTGCAAATCCCAACCGGATTACTCAATCGTTTCTACCAAATAGGAACAAAGCTTTGACTTTGAATACTTCCAAAGTTATGGCACAATTTAATAATTCTTCCAGAAGAGATTTAGATGAATATTGATGCTTTTTTCAAATATAAAGTAAATCAAGTTCATCGTATGAGGTAGAAATGTATAATAATTTAATTTTTAAAATCCGAACTTCCTAGTTTGTAAATAGTCATAGTTAGCTTTTCTGGGCTTGCGATATTATGACGTAAGATATTACATAATCATGATAATGATATTATAAGTAATGAATTGACATTTTATGATTACTTGGAATCACAAGAGATTGACCAAGGTATCAAAAAAGTACTTCATGTAATTTTCAGTGTTAATTCTGTTAGTTATAAAAAATATGTTTGTTTAAAACAGAATCAATTCTACAATATGTTAACCAATAAATTCTAATTGATATATAGTTTCTATTGCGGTTCCATAAATGAAGTTCTTAAATAATAAAAAGTAATTAATATATGGAAACCTTTTCTTCCCATTATTATATGTACATTGATCTCTGCATTTTTCATACACATTTTCATGCTCATTAAGATTTAAATTTGAAAAGTATGGATTTCCTGCTTATCTTTATTTGTAGAACAAAGGTTTGTTTGCATTGCGAAGTGATTATAGTTGAGATGGTTGTCATTTAGTAAAGTTGTAATTTACCTAGTCATTTAGTAAGTACATTGAGTTATATTCATTTAAACCAAGCAATACATACTAAATACATTTATCTGAGAATAACGAAAAGTAAGAATAAAAATGATTAATAAAAAATACACATTACAATTAATTAGTTTTAGTTTGCAGACATAAAATTTATCGTTTGGAGTTTTTGGAAATTTTATTTGTTAATTAGGATTTTGACAACACAAAGGTAAGGAAGAAATATAAAAATCAAAAATCGTAATAATAGTACTGATTAATATTGATTAATATTTATTGGAGATTACAGGTATTCTACAATGTCATCTTTATTATTCTTTCTCGCCATGCTTCTGCTACTGGCATTACCTATGGACGCACTTTTGGTGACTGAATTGGAGGTACCGAGTTTGATTGCTGCTATTATTTGTATTCTTGGAGGCGGAATAATTTCATTTAGCTGCATAACCGACAGAAGAATTACTGCGATAGCTGGAACTTGTATCCCCATATACATATTAAAATTGATAAAGACCTACATCCATCTCGCCATTAAATATTTTGTAGAAGTTGGACCAAGGGCTTCGGCTGAACGAAATCGGAAAATCTTATTCGAATTTTTGGAATGTGATGCAAATTATTCCAAATCTGTGACAATGGGATATATTAATTCTATTCAAGAGACCAATTCTGTAATTATGATTAGAAAAATTAATAATATTATGGATGGTATTCCTGATTTTTTTAAAAGCATTCTTGGAGGAGGGGTGAGCGTGGCTGCAACACTTAATACACACAATATTAGTATTCCAAGTAAATCCACAGAAATATATAATTCATTTGTGAGGGACTGGGATATTTATATATTCAATTCAACTCCATGGGTGTGGTGGTTTGGATGCATTTCTACAATAATTTCATTATTTCTTGTAGTAATTAACAATACAAATGATTATCTTGCATTTCACTCAAAAGAGCTAAAACCTCGAAATTTGACTTTAATTACGATTTTAATGTCAATTTTATCAGGATCATTTACATATTTAAATGCTGTATTCCGTATATATGAAGACAGGCATGTTTATGCTGCCTTAAAAAACGTATCCGACGGGTTGGTACACTCTTAGCAAACTGGTAATAATTTAATAAAAAATATTATTACCGAGGGTTTGGTAATAACCATTAATTCCACCACGGTAATAAAATCATTACCAGCTTTTATAAATTTTGGGTAATGGACAATATCGGTAAATGGTAATATTAGTTTTCCCCGAGTGGCGATGACTCCACTCCGCGAGGAATTGAATCAATGCCATATTGTGCTGACAGTCAATGCCGATGTAATTTTACTAAAGAGTAACAAATATACACCAAACGGTGTAAACAATTTTCATAATTTGGTATTGTAATATTACTGGTAGAACCAAAACTGTTACCACATGGACGGAATATTCACGCCATAGCCATCATCATTCCTCGTCATCTACTTTGTAGTTACCTTGGCCGTTAAAGTCAGCGAAGTAAAAATGACCAAATTGGTCAGAGTTTGTAATTTAGCCAGGGGAAAGAAATTAATTATTTCTTCTGGGGATTATGAACAGTTCTTGCGTAGTGGTAAGTATCATTCCCATTAAATTGAGAGCGTGTTTTAAATTTGTGCATTAAATAACTCAAAAATATCTAAAATGTGTGTAATTATTAGTGAAGACCAAATTTCAAGTCGAGACTGACAACGACATCATTTTGGAAGACGACCATGGCGCTGAAGTTGATGAGGAAGTATTCCCTATTCTGTTGGATCAAGGCATAATCCCAGCAATAACATTCAAAATCGTGGGGGAAGACGCAGCTAGTGATGGATCGTACACCCCTCAATGTCAACAAATTTATTACAGTGAGTTTTATAATCTGGATAATATAATAAATAACAATGAAAAGCAAAAGAAATATGTAGCGTTTTTGTGTAGTTAATAGCCCTGCGCCCATTTCGCCTCAATCGCCAGCAACTCCAGCGTCGCCCCAAGGGGAAGACTATTTTAAACAGGTACATACTTACTAGATGTATTTATATGTATCCTAATGGAATTAAATAAAATGCGGAATCAAGTAAATTTTAATGATGTTGCAAATTCTCAGGCTTTAGAAAGTTATATTGAGAGAAAACCAGACTTGAAGGAATTAGTGTCAAATTGTAACGCAGAGAGATTGGTAGACTCGGCGGCCGCAACGAAACTCATAAATGATTTTGTCTCGGTGTTAATTGATTTAAGGGGGTAAGTTTTCCTTGTTGTTATTAGCAGATAATATCTGTCTATAAAATTAATCAAATTAACTTTACAATATATAGGGATTTACCATCCACCTCTGATCAGCTGCGATTTGCCAAGGCAATAATCGAAATTATTCCGTGTTGGAAATACCCGGATTCAATTGATGGAATTGTATGTGCAAAATTATAGCTTCCCTAGAAATTTGAATTTAAATATATGTATATATTATTATTCCCTTATTGCAGGATATTTTGTATGATACTGTGAACCGTT